GTCCCCTTCAAAGCTGCGGGTTGTTGCCCTCCACAGCCCTGGCTGACCCGGCCATCTGCTTGTGTCCCACACCTCTTCCCAACCTGTCAGGTGGCCTGGAGGAAGGCCTGAGCACCCTGCTAACAGCTTCAGCATAAACTGACTTCTCAACAATCCCTTCTCCCTCTATCCTTATCAGCACCCCTCCACACAAGCTTGCTGCCCCCACCCCACCTCCACATGCGTCTCCCTCCTGAACACTCGTGGTCCTTCCTTGCCCTCCCGTCTCATGTGCTGCCCTCAAAAGCCCAGACTGACGTTGTCAGAGGGCAAGCAGCTGTCCCTGTTTGCAGAGCGTGTTCCTGTCCTGGTAATTTTGTCCTTGGCTACGCGGAGCCTCTGTACCTGGCCTGGGGAGTAGGGCTGGAGATACTGTCTCTCTGAGCCCGGTTGGTATGAAGCACATTTCCTTCCTCTCTTCCAAGTCTGGAAGACGCAACACTGGTACTGGAAAGTTGTCTAGTGGTTCATTAATTCATTTGGGGCACTGGGCACTAATGGCTTCCAACAGTGCATGCAAAATGTGTGCAAAAATCATATGAAAACTTTCCTTAGATTTCCTGGGAAAAGTCCCTTTTCAATGTCTTCCTCTTGTCAACGACATTACTATTATTCTTCTCCCCTTCAGCTCACTGCATCCTTAATAATATCTGCCTCCCTTGTCTTGTGCTAGCTCATTAACACTTAACACATTCCGTCTCTCCTCCCTTCTCTGTACATGTGGATTAAAACATACGTATTAAGGCTCAAACTACTAGAAAATACCCAATTTTCACTGGGGTTTAATTTACATTTCTCTTGTCAAGTCCGGTCTTCTATTTATTTGAACAAATACCATCTGTCTCCCAAGTCATTACTGCTTTTTTAAAAAAATGTCACGTTTGCGTTTCTGCTTAAAGTGCACCTCTCTCCCAACTGGGGTCAGATAACCTGGCACACACTGTTCTTCAGAGAACAAGCACAAACTCGGGACAGAGAACGGTACTCTGTCAACGCCCGCCATTTTGTCTCTACCTGTGACACACAGTGTGGTTTCCTTTCCATCCAAAACAACCCTCTTCCCGCTGTCCCTCCAGTTCGCTAGTGAGTGAGTGAGTGAGAGAGGATTCCAACTCCGACCCTTCATTCTTACTTTCTGTATGACAAAAACCATCTTCTCTACTTCTTCTATCTCAGGAACCTTTTTCCTACCAAAATTTATAACATCATTTGCAGGCTACACAAAATTGAAAATTAGCCTGCTATATTTGGTCAAACATTTAATGAACTCACCCCCAGTGTGGTGGCTGGTGTCCTGGTGTGGCACTGTGGGTTAATGCGCTGGACTGTAAAGTCGGTTTGAGCCGCAAGGTTGGTGTTTCAAGCTCACCAGCCGCTCCTTTGAAACCCTATGGGTCGGAATCAACTTAACAACATGATGGCTGGAACTGCGGTTGTCTTAGCAGGGCCAGGCCAAATGATTTCACAGGCCTTATACGTTCCCAGCCCCTGTTCCAGCTAAACCAAATCCACTGCTTTCCAGTGGATTCTGACTTGTAGGACACAGTAGAAGTGCTTCACCGGGTTTCCAAAGCTGTAATCTTGATGGAAACAGACTGCCACACTTTTTCCTATGGAGGGACTGGCGGGTTCAAACCTTTGTGTTAGCAGCCAACAGCTTTAACCACTGTACTACTACGTATCCCTTCTTCTAGCCAAGGCTGTGGAAACACAGCTTTCTTAGGATGCTCAAGAAGGGAAAGAGGAGGAGAGAGGGGCTGTGAGGGCTCAGGGCTGTCTCTTGTACAGACACCAGCCCCAGGGGGAGAGGAATGGGCATTGGCTGTTCAGTGTGGGGGGCTCCTGCCAGCTGCAGGCCAGGCTCTGTGGCAGGCCGGGGAGAACGCTGCCAGAACATTCCTTATAAGCTCACTAAGAGGAAACGTTGCCAGCAATCCTTTGGGAGCCACACTGATCACAGTCACTAAGCAATTTTTGTAGACTTGCTGGTCTCCACCTGCCTCCAACCTTGGGAGTATGTGCACAGAACGTGTGGAACGGGCCCTGGTGTGGACACAGCTCAGCTCAGCTGCTAACTAACAGGTGAGTGATTTGGACTCACCAGTGGCTCCCTGGGAGAAAGATCTGATGATCTGCCCCCATCAAGGTTACAGCTCAAAAATTGCTATCGGCGGTCCTACCCTAGGTTGCTATGGGTTAAACTGACTCGATGGCATCCAACAGAATATGTTGAGAAAAGTGTATTTTTATTATTTAAAGGAGCTCTGGTGTAGTGTTGCAGGTTAATGCACTGGACTGCAAGGTCGGTTTGAACTGCAAGGTTGTCAGTTCAAACTCAGAAGTCACTCCTCGGAAACCCCATACAGGGTTGCTATCAGTCGGAACTGACTTGGCGACACTTAACAACAACAACATTATGAAAGTTATTTTTGTTATAATTTTATGATGATGACCACTTTCTGCTGCCAAGATCTCCAGAGACGGCTTATGTCGCCCAGCCTGATAAGGCTCCGTCAGTGGAGTCCGCAGCCACTGTCTCCTCTCAGCCCTGTTCACCAGCTCTCCTGGGCGGGCCCACTGCCTGCTCCTTTCAGAGTGAGACATGCCTGGCATTTGTCAGGGAGCTCAGGTGTCTTGCAAAATTCCAAAGGAGAAATGTAAAACTCTCCCTGTGTGATTTTCCGATTTGATCTTGTGTCTCATGTATCCCTCTGGAGATGAACAAGAAATACTTCTCTGAATAATTCATCGGCCCCTGGGTGGAAACACACTGTCTCTCGTTTTAATAGAAAGGCTGGGTACACGGTGTGGATGATAACTCTTCTGCAATGCGCCATCCGCACTTTTTAAATTCCTCTTACAACAGCGAGAGGAGACGGAAGAGCTAGGTAGTGTTTTCAATCAAACAGACTCATGTTTGGATAATGTATACACTTACTTATAAACCTAAAGTGAGCTACAAAATGCTAATCAAGAGAAGTTGAAATAATCAAGTTATTACTTTAAAAATGGAACATGACTGTCGTTGGGTTTCCCTTTAATGAGCATCTACTAGGTGCTGGGGTGGAGGGGGTCCCTGCGTGACGCAAACAAGGGATTCTCAGCTGCTAACCACAGGGCTGGAGGTTCGAACCTACCCAGAAGCGAGACCTGTAGATCAACTTCTTAAGAACCAGCCTGGAGTCTCCATGAAGCACAGTTCCACTCTGACACACAAGGGGTTGCCATGAGTTAGAACTGGTTTGATGGCAATCATATTGGGTTTTGGTTTACTAGGTGCCAGGTGCTAGAAGCTCTGGTAGTGAAATGGTTAAGCACTGGTTTGCTAACCAAAGATGGGTGGTTTGAACCTACCAGCTGTTGTACAGGAGACAGAAGCAGTCTGCTTCTGTACGGTGACAGCTCTGGAACTGCAATGGGGGATGCTCTACCCTGCCCTATAGAGTGGCCTTGAGTTGGTTAGGGTTAGGTGCTAGGAGCAATGCCAGGCTGGCTATATGTAAATCATTTCACTCAGTCATCACAACATCTTTCCAGGGTAAGGAACCACCCAATGTATAGGTCCATCGAGGTTCTTAGAGGTTAAGACCAGGGTTCCCCAGGAGGGACTAGGTTGAGTTTGGAGTCCCAACCCAACACTTCTCAGCATTCTTCTGCTGAAAATCACTCAGTCCTTCCACAGTTCACAATGTGACTATGAGAAATGCAAAGATCATACAGGCTCTGGGGTCCTTTGAAGGATATTTCATTCATTAGATACAAAACCACATCCTCTCAGCACTAGATGGAAATGCAGAGTCTGTGGAGTCGAATGTCTTCATTGTACAGAAAGGAAACTGAGAGGCTGAGAGCTCAGGGGTCTTCCCTGTGGTTAGAGAGCAAGCAACACCCTAGAACAGGTCTCTGTCCCGGAGCCCGCCCAGGACTCTTTGTTTGATGCCACATGGCACTGTCTGATTACCAGTGCTGGGATCTGAGAGCCAACCGAAGAGCACCTATGGTCTAGTACAAGCTTTCCTCCCCTCTGACTCATTAGATCAGAGGGGCTCTACTGCTCAGAATGAAATAACATGTCAGAGCCAAAGCCTGGCCTGCGGACCCCCAGAGCAGTGTGGCTTCCCCCAGCCCCGATACCTTGTTAACTTCTGGATCTCACTTCAGACCCTCACAGCTGCCCACATCGATGTTCTTAAGGATGAGTCCCCACCCGTGGGGACTGGTCAGCTCAGTGGCTTACTGAAGCTGAGTGGCCCACAGACTGTCTCCAAGGGAATCAGGGTCAGAGCGCCACCTGGGCTCTGGCCTGAGCCTCTAGTGAAGGACATCTGTGTTTCTGGGGAGCTAGTGGACCCACATGTGGGGCAGGGCACCCAGGAAGCAAGGTACGCAGTGGCTGACATGTACTGAATGACTAATCTGTAGTGTAATAAGTCAGGACATGTAAATGTATGCTTATCTGTCAGGGATCGTACATCTGAAAAGAGGCTTTGATTCTGTAGGAAGATGCTGTGGCATGAGAAGAGAGACGGATCAGATAGAATGACCATCTTTGATGCGGTGAGAAAATGTGCACTTGCGCCTGCCTTGCCTACTGTGTAATCTGACAGTGCCCGTGTGCAGGGTGGACACTGGACAACTTACCTACCTGTGTCCTGGCCATCCATCCATCCATCCCCACAGGACGGCTCCCCCCAGTCTGCAGAGTGGTCACACTTGCCTCCCCCCACATCCCCAGTGTGGCCACACCTACGGACTGCTGTAGAGTGCAGAGGGCAGCATGCAAGCCTCTTTGTCAGACACAGGGGCCAGGACATCAACTCCCCAGAGCACCCGACAGGACCTTCAGTCAGGGCTGCTAGGGATGCCCTCTGCAGAAACGACACTTGGTGTGATGGGACCACCTGGCCAGCTAACTGTGCCTGAGCATTACAGGCTACCAACTGCTTCCTCGGAGGACTTACCAGTCGCTGCATGCTTTTCACGTGGGTGGGGCTGATGGATAAGGCTTCTTCATACCACCGCCGGGCTTCGTCAAGGTTTCCTCGCAGCTCAGCAACCTGGCCACGCATGTACAGGACGTTGTGGGACATGGGGAAGAGGTTGGCCGCTTCCTGGGTACAAGCTGTGGCTTCGGCGGGCTTCCCGATGCCGATGTAGACTTCAGCTGGGGGGAGGGGGGGAGAAGGACAGCAGATGTGTCCCTGGTTCACTTCCACTGTCCTTCACAGGCCCTTGGGGCAGCTGCTTCTGGAGCTGGGGACATTCCCTGCAGGGGAGCCGGGTAGGAGGCCATCTGGATGGGCAGGACCCAGAGCTGACCTGTCTCCTGCCCCAAGTGGAAACAGCTGCAGACTAGCAGTCTTGTGCATCCACCGTTACAAAAGACTTGAGTCACTCGCACCCTGAGGAGTGGGTGGTGGTGGTGATGACAGCTGGCTTGGCCCTGGTCTTACTCTGACAGCCCGTTGCGGACAGGTCCTGGCTCTGCCTGCTGGCCTGCTCCGATGGGAAAGGGCAGACACTATCAGATTATGTGTTCATGGAGCCCCTAGGCACAGTGGTTAAACACTCAGCTGTTAACCTAAAGGCTAGTAGTTCAAACCCACCCAGCCACCCCTTGGTAGAAAGACCCAGCCATCTGCTCCCATATGGATGACAGCCTGAAAAATCTCTTCGGGCAGTTCGACTGTCACGTGGGGTCATCATGTGTCAGAATTGACTTGACAGCACCCAACACCAAAGGCATGAAAGGAAATTGCTGCCCCATGAGACCCTGCCCTCCGACCAGGGGGTTTCCTGAACTCTGGAGGCTGACTTCAGAACACCGACAGAGCCCTGCAATAGACCAAACCAGCAGGAAATGCCTTCCTGTCCACCGTAAGGCACTTCCGAGAGCGTGTCACAGCCCAGTGTCCAGGCAGGAACTTCATCCTACTCCTCACAGCTCTCCTCCTGAGCCATGTTCTGATCCCTGAGCATCCCTCCAGCGGGCTGGACCCCGGTCACCCCTGCACAGCCACAGCGGTTAGGGTTTGTCTACTGCTGCAGGATCGGGCCCACTAACCACCTTCCAGCTGTCCAGCCCCTTCTCCTGCTGAGGGTCTACTGACCACCTCCTGCTCAGGCCCTTCTCCTGTGGTCCTGTCCTGACTGCCAGCCTCCTTTGTGAGCATGAATCCAAGTTACTTACATGTACATATATATTCTATGCTAACATGTATGTATAATATCATGCACACAAAAATAGGAATGTTGAAAGAACATGACAAAAAAAGACACAGGAATAAAAGTCTGACTATTGTCCTCACGTAATCCTGGTGTGGCGCTGTGGGTTAATGCACTAGACTGCAAGGTCAACTTGAAACGCAAGGTTGGCGGTTCAAGCTCACTAGCTGCTCTTCGGAAACCCTATTCAGGGTCGTTATGGATTGGAACTGACTCGATGGCACTTCACAACATTGTCCTTAGACATCTGTCAGTGTCCCTTGCAGGTCACTTCAAACATTCTGTATCTGCCAGTCTCTTATAGCTGCCTCCACACTGACCTGCAGCAAAACTCTGGCAGGCCACTGCTTCCTTAGAAATGTCCTTCCTTAGTGCCCTTGCGCATGCGGCTCCGACAGGGCCCTTAGCCTGCCTGTGAGGGCATCAGTGAGGCCAGCCAGGACCAGCCTGCTCAGACAGATGCCTCCCCATCTGTACAGCACAACTTCTTCCTTTCCCTGTTTTATGTAGCCACGCCCCCAATGCGTCCACAAAGACCACAGCCCAGCAGATCCTAAGGAGCAGTTGTATAGTCAGAACGGACTCAGCAACTACGGGTAACGCTTACCACCAGCCGACAGGTGTGTTATTGCTTTACCTGTGGTCAGCTCCCACTGGACTGTGAGTCAGGAGGGCAGTGCCCAGCACATAACCGAGGTCCAGCAGGAGCTGCTACAGGAGCCAGTGGATGGTGAGTGAGTGAGGACAGCTTCAGTAAGAGGAACGACACTCGCTAAGCATGAGCTTGGTGCCAGGAATGGTCCTCAATCTGTCTGGACAGTGCCCCAGTGAGGAAGGCAAGGTTACTGTCCCCATTGTACAGATGAGGACACTGAGAGGCTCTGTAGTGTGCCCCAGGACCTAGGCCGAGCGGGTGAGGGGCAGGGCTGGGTCAGGACTCAGGGCGATTGGCAGAGGGCCCATGCTCTCGTCCTCCAGATTCCTGGGCCGGGCATCCGGAGCTCCACGACCTCACTCCCCAGCCAGACTGTATTCCTGCTGCTACCTGACCGGAAGAAGCAACTTGTTATTTTCTGTGCACAGAGCAGGCATTCCCTTCTGTGGCCTCTGCTTGTGAGGCGGACACTCCCAGCCCCTCCTCCACATCTCTCTGATGGCCTGCGTCACCGGGAGCATTTTCGTGGCAGTCTTTGCTCCCGCCCTGGGCAGGCTCTGCGGCACCTCCAGCTTTGAGCCCTGGCTGGGCAGTGGCCGGAACGTGTTACACGGCTGTGGTCAGAGTTGACCCTGATGTCTGGCTGGCCCCTCTCCCTGGTGTACATACACCAATGACGGAACCCTGGATAAAGGTGGCCTTGCATCCTTCCTGTCCACCAGTCCCCCCTAAACCAGGAGCCCAAGTGATGGTTGACTGGCCGAGGACCTCTGGTGAGGAACAGCCCAAGGACTTCTGCCAGACATGAAAACGTGGGCAGTTCAAAGACAGCGTGTGGCAATGCCACGGTGCGCCCAGCACACACAGGAAACTCGGCAGGAGCAAAGCACACATCACCTTTCCTCTAGTGTGGGCCCAGGCAAAATCTTGCCCTATGCTCTGGTTGCTATAGGGTAGCTATGAGTTGGAAACCACTCAGTGGCAGTAGTTTGGTTTGGGGCTGGGATGGCATCGTGAGGACAGTCTGATGTCTTTCAGTTACATGACTCCCTCGATGCTCTCATCTGAGTCTGATGTGTGCCCGCTGTGGACTTAGCTTACCTGAGCACAGTCAATGCTTGGGAGAGCTGTACAGAATGTTCCTCTCACTGAACACTTAGCTCCTGACTTGCTTCCAGGTTAGGGCTAAGTGTAGATATACTTCCAAGAAGCCCAGGGCCTGGAGCTGTTGTGGGGAGGAACGCTGAGTGTCTTTCATCTAGCTCACCATGAAAGGGGACATTTTGCAGGAGTGAGACCTGGATGTGAAAGTTTTTCTGACATCAACCAAAGGAACGAATGCCCAGATGACAGTGTGCATGCTATGGTTCTGCTAGGAGTCCTGCTCTATCAGGCCCTCTAGGAGATGGTACCAAGGCCTTAGCATTGCTGTGTTCTCCAGAGTCACGGACGGATGCTGCTGGTCCTTTCTCAGGAGGAGATGGAAGAAACAGTCATGATCACTAAGGTGGAAGGACGAATTCAGGTCTCCAGGTGACGTCCTTCAAGGCCATGGCCCTTGGGAGAAGACAGTTACGGCACTGATAAGGCCTGCGCTCCTGCAGGCTGATGCGGCCGACAGACATATGGCCCCGGGAAGCCCCGTTCCCTCCACTTCAAGCTCAGGTGAAGAACACAGGTGCAATATACTGTAAAGTTCCCCCAGTGGAGCCAAGCTTCCCTGTCAGTCTCATCCTGATACACAGTCTCCAGATCAGGCTGCTTGGACTCCCTTTCCCTGTGTCCGGGTACCACAGGGGTCTAGGAGCCCCAGTTTGGGAAAATGGAGGCTCTGGTTCTTGGCCCTGGGCCTTGTGTGGGGGCTTCTCACTTGCTAATGGGCCTTGATTCTGGCTCACATCTCTCTGAGGGCAGTGGTAAGGCTCAAACACGATGGTGGGAAGACCATGTGGCTGCTTCTCTAAGGAGCTAGAGTTGGTCTGATCCACGCCATCTCTACACACAGCCTAGTCCTGCGCCACCCTCATAAGTGTTGCTATGTTTGAGCTCATCGTTGTAATCACTGTATCAATCCATCTCGTTGAGGGTCTTCCTCCAAGCTTGATGCTGTGTTCTTCTTCATATAGGCCAGCTTCTGACATTATCTGCTCAGCACGCAGATTGGGTAAATTACAGTGAGAGGATACAACTCTGGGGCACACCTTTCCTGACTTTCAAACTATTCAGTAGCCCCTTGTTTTGTTCGAACAAACTGCCTCTTAGTCTGCACACAGGTTCCTCATGAGCACAATGAAGTGTTCTGGAGTTCCCATTCTTAGCAATGGTATTCACACTTTGCCGTGATCCACACAGGAAGCCCATAGTAAACTGAAAATAGTGAGATTACACTTTGTCGTGCGGCTCAAGGAGGTCAAGTGGCTCATCCAAGCACTGCAGCTCTACTGGGCCAAGTCTTAGGACTGGAGTTCTGCCTTTTCCATTTCACGCCTTCTTTCAGACAATGGCTGCACTCAGATATTTCTCTTTAAACAGAAATTACATGTTCATGGGACACAGAGTCTTAGGGTCCAGGAATGAAACTTCAGTGGTAGAATGTTTGGCATCAACCAGCTAGTTTGGGACGGATGGGGTTTGGGCAGGAAAGGGAAAGGATTCCTGAAGCTTCCTTCCCAGGATTCCCGACCTCTGCTTACAGTACACAGCTAGTCTTGGGAGAAAGCAAGGCCATGCAGTGTTGACCATGAGCTGGTGTGATTTGGGAAGTCTGTCCTTCTGGGAGGTCATAGCTCAAAGAGAGCCACTGTCTCCCTAGAAGAGGGTCTCGTGAGTACCCCCTGCCCCCAATGTCAGCAGCTCCCTCCTTTGCGCTCCCTTGGCTCTATCTGTCCCGCCATTTTTCTAGGGGATGCTCCTAGAACCCTTGCTTCTTGTTTCTGTCAGAGCCCAATTGGCTCTAGCCACACACCTGGCTTCTTTCTTAACCGTCCTCCAGGTCCCAGTTGATTGATGAGTTTGGGAGGAGGATCTGAGCCTGCACACCTGGACCCCCCAGGGCTCTCCCCCTCTGGGGCTTGTCCTGCAGGTGCTGTTCATTGTCACCTTGCTCATGCAGCTGACAATATGCACCAGAGTCAGGGCCTCACTGACAGGTGATGAGACAGGTCCAGGGACCAAATCCTCCATTATATTGGCCTGGGTACTGCCTCTCAACCCAGAGGCCAGCAACTTGGGCTGAGCGAGGTCAACTTGGCGTGATGCATCAGGGAGTCCAATTGGGGCCAGAA